GAGAGGACTCTGTTACAGGGGAGACTGTCAGACCAAAAAGGAGTTGTCAGGCTTGAGAAAAAGTTCTATACAGTTCTTCAAACCCCACTAAAGGTTCTGTGGCATTGGAGGGATCACATTGCTCACAGGGAAAGCACCAGTTCGGATGGTCTCTTGAGCAGTGAACTACTAAGAGACCTTTATGAACAGAGGAGAAGCCCTGGAAATCAGTCTGTGATATTGAAGAGAGCAGGCTCCTGGCAAAAGCAGTAAGCCCTGCATGGTAGGAAAAGATACACAAAATGGCTAAATGAAATCTGTTATGGAATTCAGAGGCAAGACAGTTGTCCCCACTGCTCATAGTAGAATGTGTTTCCTGATGATGTCTGAGGACTAGAACCTAGAGCACATCACAGCATAGACAGCACCCTGAAGGAGCCAGCCCTCCTGGCATCAGAGCTGTAGCATACCTTCCTGGCAACTTCAGCGAAAACCCAATTTTATTGGTTTAAAAAGTCGATATCCTTCTCAAAACAAAGATGTCGATTGCTGCCTTTGCATGGGAGGCCCACACTGCAGAACCACCCAGAAACTCCACCCTCACCATTGAGTGCCTTGTGCCCCCGTTAAGCCTCAGTCCTGCAGGCTGAGGCTGCCACTCCTTCAGGAAGGCCAAACAGCCCAAAGCTGCTCGGCAGGAGATGCCAAGACAAGTTATTCACTCCCCCAAAGCACTTCCAGCTAAGATTAAGCCACACGACCCATCATGTCTCCAGAGATTTGGAAGGGGTCTCAGAAATTTGACTAATGACTGCCACTTAACAATGTAATAATCAAAATGTACATTTAGTAATAGCCACCAAGCAATAGCCAAGGTGAAACGTTTTTGATTGTAGGCATCCATTATAGTTTTGATGTGACTTTGCCCTTTTAAGGTTTAAGCCAAATAGGCAAACTGCTGGCATTATCACACCCAAGACCACATTCGCTGGAACTACAACATGAAGTTCGTCCCCAAAGCAAAGTCCTCTTTATTTATATGGGGAATCTGCTACCAATGTGCATGTACTTGGTTCTTAACTTCAAGAAACTTCGGAGTCTATCACAGACCCATTTCCAGCCTGTGGATCCCTCCATCACAGCTCAGGCCAGAGCAGACACACAGCCCAGGGGCTCCAGAAGCGCCAGAGTTTTTATACCTGACCAAAAGACTCCTCATTCAATTCAGCAGTCTTAACACTTCTTTCAAATCCCGGGGGGGGGGGGGGGCTTTGTTCTTTAGAACCTAAAGAAAAAAAATCTCAAAGTCATACACCCAGAAGGAAAAAAGAGCATATAAGAATCCTTGGACATACTGATGACAACTACAAAACCAAATGAGGTTATTCTAAACTGAGAAGGAAAGGAAATTCTTCAAAACCAAACAGAAGTTCCTGCAATTTGTCCCACATTCCTTAACTGGATTGATTTTATAAATAGCCTGTGCCTTTTCATGAGATGTAAACGCCACAACCACTGACCTGGGTCTAGGTGGGGACAACCCGATTTCATAAAGGTAAAATAACTAACTTAAGTTAGTGGCAGGCCCTCAATAGGCATGCCCCAAAGGGACTCTGACACACAGGTGGGAGTAAAAGAGATCAACGACCTCCACCATCTCCCCAGAAAGAGTCCATGTTTCAGTATTTGAGGACTGTTTTCAGAAATTTGGCAGTGGTCTCCCTGGGCTACTGAACCTGAAGAAATCAGATTCAGAAACCACCGTCATGGTCACCTGCTGAAGAGGATGCTGAAGAGTTTGTTTCCATTGAGAAATTTGAGTCACCTAAGTAACTTTTGTTTCTAGCAGTTGACAAAACCAGGAAAAAAATATACCCCTGGCTCTCAAGTGCCCACCCTGTGCCTGACACAGCCAGGGGCTGTGACCCTGGGCGGTTCTGAGTGAAGAAAGATCCTAGTGATTCCTCTCAGACACGCCCCGCAGTTCACTAGGCTGAGCAGCTTGGGTGGCTCCTGGGTAGGAAGAGAGAGAATCAGTCCTGATGCTGCAGATGATCTGTACAGTTAGCAAGGGGAAAGCCAGAGAACTTCTCATGACCTGTGATGAAACTGAACCTCTCAGCCAGAGAAAACCTGGTTTGTTTGACCTCACTAGTGAGTTAGCATTGTCAGTTCAGTGAGAACACTGTCCAAACCCGTTTAGTAGGATAAATGAAATGTTCCCAGCTACCACTAAACTGGCTACCACCAGCTCAGTCAACAGCAACAGCAGGGACAAATACTTTCTCCCAGTCACAAGTACCCTAAGTCTCCTCAGAACTGACCTTTAAAACATAAGACACACAGCCCCAGATTAGGACAAACAAAAGCTACCTACCCTGCTCTTTCCTGCTTCAAGATTTTCCTCTCTAGGGATATGTCTGTGATATGTCTTTATGGGGCTCTTGCTCTCAAAAATCTTAAGTGTGCTAGCAAAATCAGACTCAGTATGAGGCTTGGGGTCCCCTCCCTACACAGGAAGCTGTGGGGACAGGTAGACTGTGTCCTTTTCCATTTAACTAAGAAAGGCAGACTAGGGCTGGTCACCCTTGGCTCAAGATGGGTCCCCTCCCCCAGCCCAAGTGCCTCAACTCCCCTTGATTGTAGAAATGGCACTTGTTAAAGAATAATTGTCCCCAGCTCATGGGGTTCCAATGTCACCAGGTGCCTGGGAGTGGAGAGATGCATTAATTTAATCAAAGTGTTTCTGAATCATCCTAGCAGTGGTATCTGGGTGTCATTTTTTCCAACTGATCCCCAAGCAAAGAACTCCAAATTTCTGTTTTTTAGTTTAAAATGATGACAGTTCCCAGCCAAAACTCAGAGAAGCCAGAGTTTTCATAAACAGTATTCTTTCTCTCCCTCCTCCCCTCCCTCTCTTCCTTCTCTCTCCCACCCTCTCCACCCCTGGCCTTCTTTTCCATAACAATCTACAGGTTTCATTGTTAATGGCCACACTAACCCTCAGAACACAGAACTTCTTTCCCAGCCCCTCTAAGGAGCTGTATCCCATCTTAATGGAAAGCAGGATTACCTCAAAGCGAAGCTAAGAATCAAATACACCATGCAGGCAGAACTTAGGTGATAAGTTTTATTGGAGAAGGGAAGGGAGTAGGGGAAGGGACCCACAAACGCTTGGGTTGCATACAACCAAACAGGTGAAACTAGTCGTGAGCCATCTGGGGACGGTCAAAGCAACACAGACCATGTGAACAATTTCATTCACCTTTGTAACCAGCCCAGGTCCACGAGCCAGTCAGAGAGAGGAAAACCGCTAAGTTTCCCAACTTATTAATTGGGATCAACTTCTGGAAACTGTTTCTCCTCGGTGAATGCAAGCCCAAGCCAACATATTTACTCTGCGAAGAGGAGGGAGGAATTGAGGGTGCTCAGGTGCTATAAGCCACGGCCAGGTGTCAAGGACATAACTACCAGGTGTCAGGGGTTGGGGACATGGACTAGATAGGGCTGAAACTCCGACACCCAGCCTTAGAAGCCGGGGCTCGACCTGAACTTAAGGTCACAGTGCAGGACACCCAACGTGGAGACAGTCAGGGCTGGCTGAGCCGGGGAGCACGTAGGGTGTGGTTGTCCCGTGGGCAGCAGTGCCACCCGAGCCCACGCAAGGGGCCATGGGGCAGGGGGCATGGGGCAGGGGGCATCCCCAGGCAGAGAGGGTCCCTATAGCCATTGACCTCCCTAGCGAGCGACAGTCCAGAGAGGTGTGGAGTTGTGGAGCCCTGTCCAGGGGGCCCTCCTGCACTGCGCGCCACCTTTCCCGCGGCGGGAGCGGGGCGGAGCACAGAGCAACGCGGGAGCCCTGGCGGGCCACTGTCTCCAACGGCCTGCTGCGCTCCCGGGGCCCTGGCCCGGCCCCCTGTGTGGTGTGGGCTCAACTTTCTCGGAGCCACAGGTGGCCCAGAACATTCTGGGGTGGTGGACGTGGGGGACCAGTTCAATGCGTGCGCCTCTCTCTCCTCTTCCAGGTCCTCTGTCTGCAGCATCTGCATCTCAGCCCTGCCCATCATCCCTTACGCATGCTCGCAAAGTTGGAAGAGGGGTGTCTCTCCCCCAGTGATCACCCCACCCCAAGCACGGGAGCCCCGGGGGCGCAGGAGGCTGAGCTGCTGGGACTCGCCCGCTGAGATCCCCTTGACCCTGCCCTGTAACTGACCCCTGGGGAAAAGGAGGGGGAAAGAAAAAGCCCCCCCCCCGCCCCGTCACACTACCGCGCATGCTCAGAGCTGGACAGCTCCAGAGAGGGAAATTTAAAAACGGTTCGAGCTGCGACGGCGGCCAAATTGCGGACAGCAAGGGGCGAGCGCAAGGGAGTCCCCCCTGCCGCAACACCGCCCCCAGCGCCGCCCCCAGCGTGCCCCGGATCCGCTCCAGGTACTACGGTTCAGCCCTTGCTGTGTGCCCCATCCGACCCACGGGAGGCCCCCAGTGGGGCTGGAAGTTTCCCACGCCTGCTTCAGGCCTGGCTTGGAGTACTAAGGGGGGCCCGGGAATCTTATTTAATGCAGTGTTTGTGGGTGGCCGGGTGGATAGCGTGGTGCCTGGCGTAGTGCATGGACTGGTTTCCCAGCACCTGCGTCTGGAGTCTCCTCCACGGCGTTAGCCCTGCGGATGGTTCCTGGACCCACTAAGTCCCACTTTTCTGATGATAGCATTTTTAAGCTGATTGTAGCTGAATAGCGGTGGAGAATGGGGGCTTGGAAGCAAACAGAGTCCTTTGGATTTCAATTTTGCCAGGGCTTTCCAAAGCTTGACATTTCCATTTAGGGGCTTCCCCCTCCCCCCTCCTCCTTGAATTTGAAAGAACTTGGAATTTCACCCATTCTCCTCACTTGGCTCTTAAACTCCTGTAGGATTTTCCTGGGATTGTGACCCTTTGTCATTAGCTTCCGACTGTGGGAAGCTGCAGGTCTCTGCCCTGCCTACACCGATGCTAATGGGAACTTCCCCCCTCCCCCAAGGAGATGATACAAAGTGACATTCTGCCCAAAATGTCGGGAATGATAAGAAGTTCCGGGCTCAGTCACCACCGGTCTCCGCAGGAATACAGGTGAGGGGCCCTGCTTGTGTGCTGAATGCTAGAGACTCTCAAATTCAGAGACGCTCTCTCTGCAATGTCCCCTCTAAGGGACAGTCTCTCCTGGGTTAGACTGTGGGCAGCCTGGTGACAGCAGCAACTGTTGCTTCCCACCCAGTGACCCCAGCAGGGGCTCCAGGGAATGTCCCCCGAAAAGTGTTCTGGAAAAACTGGCTTCTACCCTCCGTGGGTATTGGGAGGTTGTAGGTTGGAACTTATGAGTTCTTAGCCCAGCTGTGTGAGCTTTAGCAAGCCCATTGCCCCCTCTGGGCCTTGTTTCCTCCTCATGTAAATAAATGATGCTGTTGAATTAGATGATCACAGGATCTCTTTTGAGCTCTATGGGCCAAGTAGACAGGAAGTAAAGCCCAAGTAAAATCAAAGTTCAGGTGAGGGTGGGGCAACCTAGTGGACCCTTGCCTTTTTGAGGGACAGCCATGAGAGTTTCAGCCAAAAACCAAACCAAAACAAAACCTTTATAAGAGAAAGAACTCAGGCCCAGAGAGGAGCTCAGTCAAGTACACACAGTTGGGAGGGAGAGAGGGGGAGAAGGAATGGCCCAAGGTCCCCTGCGAGCCTCTCTTCCTTGAGATGGGGTAGCCTGACCTGGTTCCCAGGGCCCTAAAGCCCACACCATGTCTTGGTGGAGGAGTGGGGCCAGGATGGGGGCTGCCCTGGGAGGACAGGCTGTCACCTCAGATCAACCCTGTTTACCCAAGGGCTGTCTGGCCCAGGGGCCACTGTGACACCAGCAGTGCCTGCTGAGGTAGCAAGCTGCCTCCAATTAGAAGGCTGCTTGTGGACACAAAGGAAGCCAAGAATTCAAAGGGCTACGTTTATTTTATGGTGTGTACATGCACGTGTGTGTGTGTGTGTGTGTGTGTGTGTGTGTGTGTGTGTGTGTATACGTGTACTTGTATGTGGATGTATGCAGCACCTGAGCAGGTGCAAAGGCAGTTCCTATACCCATCATTCCTGGACTCTGCTGAGCTCAACACTCAGGTGAGGCCAGCATCACACAGCCTATGACCCTGAGTGTCCTTCTTGCTGTCAGGGGTAAATAATCATGAGTGGGGGCTGTGTGAGCATTTCTAACTTGGGTAAACCTGGCTTCTCTGGCACTTTCTAAGACTCAGTTTCTCCATCTGTAAAATGGAGATAAATGGCACCCACAATATGGGGTTGCTATGGCAACCAAGCATCCATTTCTGGCTCAGCCATATGCCCATGGTATGATGCTCCTGGACCACATCACCTTTGAGCCCTCATTGGTTTAATGCAATGGACAATAGAAACTACTATGAAATTAACAGACACCCAGCAGGCCTGGCTCGTGAGAGCCAGTTCTCCCCTGGGCTCAAGGCATGGGTTCTGATTCCACTTCCATAGGGTCAAGAAAGGAAATAGGATAGATAAAGACTGTCAGTCAGACATATGTCAGTCCCCGGGCCTGCTGCTGATGGGTCACTTTCTGTCTTTAAAGTCAGCAGGGCTGGCTCAGTAGATAAAGGTGCTTGTGGTGCAAGCTGGTGAACGGAGTTTGATCCCCAGAACCCATGGACAAAGTGGAAGGAGACGCCACAAAATTATCATCTGACGTCTACACATATACTGTGATATGCATGCTCCCCCAAATAATAAAAAAAATAAAATTTAAATGGGCACAATTAAGCTGCCATGGGGATTAACGACAAAGCTTGCAGAGCATGGGCTGCTTAACTAGTCGTTATTGCTGCTTCCAACTTAGCCATGTTGGATGGACTGTGTGGGTGTCAGAAACAAGGAGGGCCTGCGGGCAGCCTGGAGATGGAATCTGGGAATGGGGTTGTACACGTGCTGCCTAATGGAGGCTCCCATGAGGCTTGGGCTACATGCCCAGGCCAGTGCAGCCCAAAAACTGCTTGCAGCACTGTGCACCGCCCAGCAATAAAACCAGGGTAAGACAGACAGAGAGCACCCTTATGGGGGTTGGCAGGTGTAGCCTGCTCACTGACCCGCTGGCAAGTGGGGACTAGAAGCAGGTCCAGTGCTATCATCTCCGGATCCAGAGGTTACTGGACCCAGCCCTTGGACAGTTAGAGCATCAAGATGGCAGAACACTTTAACCTTCACTGCAACAGCTGAGGACCCCTTCAGGCTGTCACTGCTTCTGCAGCAGATTTACTGCATAAATGGTGACTAGGGTGGTCCCCAACCCATCCTGCGAGGGCAGCATTCCCATGCCAGTCTGGTAAGGGAATGAATGCCTTAGCAAGATGACATGGGAAAAAAAAAAAAAAAAAGATGACGTGGAAGTGACAGGCCAAGTGGGGACTCCACCCTAAAGTTGCCACACACCCCATGGTCATCTTGCCCCTAGCCTCAAACCCCCACTGGTAAAGAACACACTACCTCAGCACTGTGTGACACCCCCCACACACACACACAAGTTACTGCTCTCTCTGATCCTCTTTCTCAAATGGAACCCCAGAGAAGCAACCCATTTTTGTCCCTGAATAATAGCTCGGGAGAAGTTTGTGGGCCTCTCATTTGCACTCCTGTGTCTCCAGGGACCGCTCTGAGGACTAGATCCATAGGCTGTGACTCCAGCCACCTCAGGGGCCCCCATGCAGGCCACAAGCAGCTGCCTGGTGCTCCATCCCCCCTGGGGCTAGTTTGGCCGTTAGTTAAACTTTCAATGCCCACATCCCGGGAGGTTGCTGGCTTCAGCCAACCGCCCAGTTCTGGGGCAGCTGTCAGGGGTCAGTGGTGGAAGCCTAGACAGCAAGCCATCGCTAGTTCTTCTTCCTAGCAGCTGACACCAGAGCAGCCAGAGTGCAGCTCTGTCCCGGAGCAGCCTTGAGCATTGCTAGCTTTAGCTGGGGTTTCTTCTTTGCCCAGAGGGTGGGAGGGAATTCCATTCCCAGAATTCTGAGGAATGGAGTTCGAAGTACCTACCAGGTGCTAGTTTCAGTCCCAGCAAGTGCACTTCACCCGTTATCCTTACAGCGATGATCCCGCTCCTACTATAGACAAGAAAACTAGGGACAGTGGCCGGCACTTGCCCACAGGCTTATGTTTGGGGAGGGGAAGGAGGGAAAAAACCCTGAGCAGATGCCTCAACTTTTGGAACTTAGTTCAGAGAGGTGAGACCCAGCACCTTCTCTCTGCAGAGCAAGGAAGAAGCACTGGTGCGTTCTCAGGCCCACACCTACTCATTGTGCTCCACGGGGAGTCCTTGCCCTGATCATTGACTTCCCAAAATGTTAGGGTCTGCCCTAAAAAAAAGGCAGTGACCCTGGGGAAAGGAAGTTCTCCCCCACCTCTGCCAATGCCTCCGCCACACCCCCACACCCCCCCCCACACACACAAACACAGTGGTTTTCTTCAGTGGGCAGAGAGTTTGTAGTTCAGTGTTGACTGACTGGGTGGATGGGTGAGCAGACAAACACTGCATAATCATGGGCAGCTATGTATGCAGGTGGAAGCCTGAAACTCATAAGGGGAGGCACCACCCACCAGCTGGAGCCTCCCAGGTAGACTATCAGGGATACAAACATCTTTCCATACTCCATCCTCAGTATATTGAATAGCAGACCAGCTACTGCATAGACAAGAAGTATTAGCCTTGCTGGAGTCCAGTCATGCTACTCACCCCCAAATGTACACACGTCCTTACGTACATACACACACACCCCAAGTTCCAAGCCAGCTATTGTTCTAGAGGGGAACAACAACTCCCTGCCCCCCCCCAAGTCACATGATAGCATCGTGTACTCGCTCTTGTCTTTCAGGGAATTTCTGAGCATGCTAAGTAGCATTTAATTTTTTTTTTTTCTGTAAACCCTTCTGAAAGCTATTACAAAGGGTATGTGAGCTGGGTAAACACAGCCTTCAGAAGCTTAATCCTGCAGACTGGCAACAAGAATGGTCTGTGGAGATGTAACAGTTTCTCACTAGCTACAGCCGGGGGAGGGGGGGTTCGGGGGAGGCTGTAAGATCAAGGTGAGCTGTTGCCATGGGGGGACAACATTTGGGTCGTCCAGCCCTGCTTGGCTCCAAGAGAATAAGAGTTGAACATCTAGAAAGTGGGCATTTATGTTGAGTGTCTTCTGTGTGCCAAGCAAGACCTGTGCTGGGCTCTGGGACTTCTGCTGTAGAAGAGACAAAATCCCTTGCTAACCCACTACAGATAGTGGGGGCTCCTGGGCTCCTGGGACCACTTGTACCCAGTAGGAGGTACAGCTCCTGTATTAACCTTCTCACCCTTCTAGACCCTCAAGGTGCCCCAAAAAGCTGGGTGGTGCCTGCCTTAGCTGGGGACTCTAGCAGGGCTCAAGAGAATGGAGGTTTGTAGGCAACTATAGGACTGACTTTTCGGGGTTCAGAGAGACTGGCATCTGCCAGGGAGGCCTGGCAACACAGAGACAGCAAGGAAAGACACAGGTTGTGAGCAAACAGAAGGCATGGGGCCCCCAAGGAAAACACAGCAGAGTCATTGGAGGCTTCGGCAGTGATTTCCACCCTACCCAGGGACTCACAGTGCTCCTTCAGGGACTCACACTGCTCCTGGGTCAGAGTATGGTCACCCAGTCAGCCAAAGGCTGACTCAACTCCCTAAGATGTGTGGGAGTCACCTGCATTTAAGAGGGAACACGGGGTGATTGTTAATTGCAGGTGTCTGACTGATGGCTAGCTGGGCAGCAGGGACATGGTGATCAAGTGGGGGATGGGGCCACAGGAGGGGTGAGACCAGGACTTCATCCCAGAGCCTGTCAGTGACAGAGACAGAGACTCAAAGATGAAGAGATTCAGAGGAGAGTGGGGGAGAGGCACAGGTTGGAAAAGCTGGTCTTGGGTGGTTTTCTCTGCCTGCCCCCCCCACCCCCAGTTGGCAGGCATGTGGTAATCAGGAACAAGGTGACCCCAGGGTTTCTCCTCACAGAGAAACAGGGGAGACCGTGAACAGACTGGTGAGGCCCCAGGCCAGGCTTCCATTGTTTGCCTTCTTCATTTCCACATGTCCTATCTTTGTCTGGCAGAGGGAAAAAGTTACTTCTGAGCCTGGCCATAGCTGCTTGCTCTCTGTCTCCCCATCTCAGTCTGTTGCTTTTGCCCCCTCATGGTAACGAGAGAGATCCCAAACCACCTCTCTGCCACCCTTCCAAACCAGCTCTGTGAGTATGAGGTGTCACTATTCTCATCCATACCCACTTTACAGTTCGGCAAACCAAGGTTAGGAATCAAGTGTTCTTCTGAGGTAGTTCCTAAAGTCAGGACTCTTTCCTGTAGCAATGCCCTGGACCCATAGTTTACACTGCATGAGGCACTGGGGAAAAGTGAGGCTGGACACGTGTGCCTTCTGGATGGGGAGATGCAGGAATTGGTGAGAAAGAAGCCTGGAGGGCCCTGTGCTGCTGTGAAGAGGGGTACCCTGCTTTGTTCCTGGCCTGGACAGTGAGGATCTGTCCTTTGTCCACTCTCCTTTGTCCTCCCATGCATCAGTCCCTGGTACCTGTGTGCTGAAGAGAGGAGGGGACAAGGCTTGGAGCTAGTGGATTCCTTCCACAATGCTCCATCGAGAGAATGCAGCAGGGTTGGCTGGGCCGAGCAGGGCTGGCACATAAAGACATACATTCTGGCTAGGAGTTGGGGAAAAGAAGGAACAGATGGCCCTTTGCATGCCTGAGGCAGCAGGGGTGTCATGGACCCCTAAAATGAATAGCAAACCCCTAAGAATGGAGAACAGGGTCCAGGTAAAAATGCAAAGTACAGCAGAAACTGGATTTAAGTCCTTGTTGCCTCAATTGCATGCAAAGGGACCTTTACTGTGCTAGCCTCAGTTTCCCCATCTGTAAAGTAAGGTGTTCTATTATCTGTAGCCATCCTGGTGCTCAGAGATAAGGAATTCATGAGGGCAGAGAGCAACTCTAGCAGGGCCAGGCCCAACTGTCACTCTCGTGTCTTTCTTAGGGTGGGTGACCTGGACTCAGCCTGTTTCAACCAGCCACATGGGCACATGAAGGTTGCACACAGGGTCTGGGTCCTCAGTGAGCCCCAGGAGGGCTAAGGGTAGACTGGTGAGCTGCAGATGAGGAGCAGGAAGCACTCATGGCAGATAGTGACAGAGCTGAGGCACAGGTGATGTGGCTGTCAAAAGACAGGAAGAATCCTCCCCAAGGAGCCTGGAACCCTAATGATCCTGCTCTGTCCTGGCTGAGACTGGGATTGTAGTGCGGCTGTCTCCCTGTGACACTGGCTTCCCTGGACCACCTTAGAGCACAGGCAGGCGACCTGTGAGGGACATCCTAAGTGAAATACCCAGAAGGCAGTTAGGATGGTCTTGGGAAAGTAGTACAAGGAAGGGCCAGGCCCCCAGGGAACAGCAATGACAGAAGTGCAGATGCAGTCTGTGTTTGGGTGTGATGAGGAGGTGGCAGTTGGGCACATTGTGGTGGCTACAGGAGGGACAAAAGAATGCAGGGAAAGGAGGGCCACCACCAGGACAGCACCAACCCCGACCCAGCGCCTGCTCTGGTGAAGCACCCATGGCCGTCTTCACTCCATGGGAAATGGCTCACGGCACAGGGACAGACAGACCAGGGACTCAGTTTCCCCATATGGAAAATGGGGACAACACAGGGCCTAACTTTAAAGGTGTTTCTTGGTGAGTGGAGTGGCTGTATGTTCACTGGTTCTGAGCCTGGCTATTCTTAACTGTGATGCTAATATTGGTGTTAAGGCTGCTAAAGAAATAAATGGTCACAGTGTATTTGTTGGGAAACAGGTACTGTTCAGTGTTTCACAGACTTGACACTCACAGAGTCCTGTAACAGGGACAGTTGTCTGTGGCTTATAGATGAAAAGCCAAGGCTCAGAGAGGTTAGCAAGTGTCTTAAGGGAGACCAGGATTAGAATCCCAAGCTTGAGCTTCCACCATTGTGCACGTTGCTTCCTGGATTCACCCCTGGCAGGTTCTAGTCCATGTTGGTGTCCTGGAGCCTTGCAGAGTTCCCACCTTGTAAAACCTGATGGCAGAGGTATGCCTCTCCATCCCCCTAAGTCCTAAGCAGAGCCAACCCTGGGAGGTTGCCTGGTTGTGGGGTGAGGACAAGAGAGTGGGGTCAACCCCTCCCCTTTACACCATAGTCTCTGGGGGCCTAGGAGACAGATGGCATGGCCCAGGCCAGGGCCAGGACTGTCACTCAGATGAGTTATGAGCAGGCCAAAGGGGTGGCACTCAGGAAACCACAGAAACAATAGCACTGAGACTCAGAACAATGGGGGCCACGTGCCGTAGGGGCAACAGTCGTTTGTGGCACAATGGGCCACCAGGGGACAGCAGCCGGGCCAACTGTTGCCACTGACACGGACCAGCCAGTTTTCAAATGATTTCCAGGCTCTGTTTTTCTATGAGGCAACCAATGGCGGAGATAGCCGATAGTCACCTGATAGCGGCTTCATGGGCTGATGTCCCAGGCCTGGGACAACTGAGCAGTGGTGCTCATGGCAACACTGTGGCTCCAAAACACAAGAGAACAGAGATGGGAAAAGAAGGAGAGGGTGTGCTTGGAGGTTACAGGAATGTGAGCGCAGGAATGAAAGGCCAGTGGCAACCCCCCGCGGACGTGGGAGGAACCCAAAGGCTGTGGTTCTAGGACACAAGTTCCCCCTCACTCCTCTCTTTCTGAGACCCTGTCTCACAATGGTTTGAACTCGAGTGTGGCTAGTCTCTTGGCAACAGAGCAGACAGCACCCGGTACTGATGAGATAGATAGTGCTGGGGTGTAGCATGGACATCCCAGTACAGAATACACAGATGCTACCACAAAGCTGTTGGGCACATGGCACATGGAGCTTCAGGGATACCAGAGGCAGTCCCCCTGTTGTTGGGGTCCTTGTGCAGCACAGCTTCTTTCTGCAGAATTGGATGTGTGCATTCCATGCATGTATTTGTTGGCCTGCTGAGGACCATAGGCCTCATGGGGCTCCAGGAGCTGCCCGGGTCACAATGAAGAGCCCTGGCTGCAGGCTGTGCCATGCTAAGTAGTCTTGATCAAGTGACCCATTGTGCTGAACCTCAGTTTACCGTATGTAAAAGGGGACACAGTATGCAGATACCCTAGGCAAAGTGAGACCAGAAGTGTTTTAAATTTCGATTTGGCAGTTTGGGGAGTGTTGAGGTAGGCACAGTGTGGCATCTTTAGAGAGAGGCTGCAGTCTCACGGGTGTCTCGTGTGTCTTACATGGCCAGCTTGAAGGGATTTATATACACGATTTTCACTGTACCCCCATTTGGATGGTGATCCCTCAAATGATCCAAGGTGTGGAGTTGTCCACAGTGGCACGATGGAGGCGCTCAAGAAGTTCTGGATTTTGAGGTTTTGGTTTTTGGAACAGGCTCCTGCCAACTATGGGTGACGATGACCTCCCTGGAGACCTTCAGTCGCTGTCATGGCTTACATCCGTGGATGTGCCTAGGCTGCAGCAGATGGCAAGTGGACGGATAGACCTGGGAAGCCCCAGTATGCCACATCCACACCCAGGTAGGCTCAAGGGGAGGAGGTGACCCCTGGCCCTGCCCTCAGCCTGATGAGTGGCCCTGGAGAGGTCCCTCTGTCTCTGATCTCTTTGTCCATATCTGTAAAATGGGAGCAGGCCCACACTTCCTTAGTTAGAAGAGATCATGGGACATCTCAAACACCTCACACAGTCAGCAAACTCATGGTGGGCCAAATGCAAGCCGAGGCCCATCCTTCCAAGTGCTAAGGTGGAGTTTAGATTTTCTGAAGTTTGTAAGAAAATGGACGATGGTTGGCAAGGCCCAAAGCCTTTGCTGTCTGGCCCTTTAGAAAACAAGTGTACTGCCCTCTGTTCTAGAAGATTCTGAGAGACTCTTGGCACCTAGTAGGTGCTCTGTAAGTGACAGGAAGCTGTAATCAAAGGAAGTAGACTGAAGACAACACTGATGGAGAATGGCGGCAGAAAAGTTATCACCATGTAAGAACAGGGCAGAAGTGGACATTAGTATCCGGCAGGATGGCTCTCCAGGCAAATTTCTCTTGTGCAATATGCACAGCAAGAGGCAGCTAACATATGTCTCCCATGAAGGACCAGGAAATATCTACTTTTGAGACAGGTTCTCCCTAAATATCCCAGACCGGCTATGAACTCCAGATCTGCTTACCTCAGCTCCTGAGTGCTGGAATTATAGGTATGCTCTGCCATACCTTTGCTGAAAATAGATTTTAGACCTTTTAATTCATAAAGTATAAGTTGAAGCTATCCAGTATTGATGTTGACACTGAAAATCCAGCCACAAACTATATGTAAAACAGGTGTCTGCCAGTAAAGATTTATTGACAAATCAGGCTATGGACCAGCTTTGGCCTTCTGATCAGTTTTCTAACTCTAATCTAGAATCTTGGAAGACATCTATGCAGCATTGGGATGCACCTGCCTCTTAGATCAGTTTCCTCATCTTCAGGGAATGTGTACAGAACTATTCTTACAGGGTATTGCCAGTGGTCCATACAGGAGACATCTTAAAGCTGTTGAAGTTTGGTACATGGTAAAATAAGCCAGGACACAGCAGCCTTTTGCAGGTCACTTTTACTTGATTAGAGGTCATGCAATGAAAATCTGTGATGGATTAGTAATGTCTGTCACAGGCCCAGCATTGGAAGCAGGTGCACATCCGTTATCCTTGTGCTAAAATTGGGTGACTAGCAGAGATTCAGGGAAGAGGGGACAAAAGCACATCTAAATCTAGAGTTCTCAAGGAGCCATGAAACTTTTCAGGAGATGAACAATAAATTGGCGTTTTAGCTCATGAAGGACAGGAACCAAGGTAGTCTATCATCACGTCATCATCATTATTGGCTCACATTTATAAGGATTTTATCACCTGCCCAATCAAGTGCTAAGCGCTTGGTAGGCAGCATCTCATTTAACCATCACAACTTTGTAAATAGGTGAGGGGTCAGCAGAAATGGGAACAATGAGGCTGGCACCAGGTTATAGGTTCAAGGAACCCCACTGCTAACCACCACATTCCAGAAAAGTGATTTGGAAACGCTGGGTATGCCCGGTGCTGGGGTGGAGGGTGGCCCCCACCTCCCATCGTGGCCACCATTTTGTACCTTCCTTCTACAGGTTCTTTGGCTGGGGCAGCAGACCTAAATGTGGGTGCCACCTCACACCCCCTGCTCCGTGGCCAGGCTGCCATGGCCCCCAGAGGCATGCTGGGTTTGGGCCCCAGAGCTAGCGTAAGTGCTACCACATGGCTGGGAAGGGGGAGGCAGGTGACTGTCCCTTCCTGACCTTCTGTCTTGTCCCCTCCAGGCTGAGCAAATGAACTCATTCCCCATAGGAGGCCAGTCAGCGTCACCATCGGGTCTACAGGAAGTGCCACAGCTGTATTCACCTGCCACCCCACTCCAGTACCCTCTGCCCCCAGGGCCCCAGCAGGTACCACAGGCTCGGAGATATACCACCCTGCACTCATTTGTGATGTGCCCATGGTGTTGGCACCATTCATGCCTTGCTGGGGACACGGGAGCAGCTTCTGTGTTTAAATCCCTGCAGTTAGAAACTGGCCTGGGGTTTGTAATTTACCTCTACACTGTCTCATTGCCCTTCTCTCTATGCTGCCTGGCCTCGTCCCTTCCTGTGAAGTGTCCTCCTGCAGGCCTCTATGGCTCTCCATTTGCAGCACGGCCTTCCTACCCACAGGCCCACATGGCAGTGCGCTCACCACAGGACCTGCACCCCAAACACTATCCCAAACCCATCTACTCCTACAGGTAAGGTCTACCTGTAGGACTACCCACAAGTGGGGCACAGGGGCTGCCATTGGGGCATCTTAGGCAGATAGGAAAGGTGATCTGGTTCCTAAGGGAACCCCCAGGTGGGACCCACTGTTGGGAGGGACTGGCATGTGGCCAGCTAACCCTGCATCAGCATGGTTCTCCATCTTCACAGGCCGGATGGTTTGGCCTCTCCAAATCTGCTTCTTCAGATTAAAAAGTTACAGAAAAGGGAGCGTGTATCTTGGGATTCAAGGCTGGGGTGGGGAAGGAAGCATCTTGGGTGAAGTCTAAAAGCCCATGGGAGGGGGGCTCAAAGAGCAATAGTAATTTCTCAGGTCACTGCAGTGGCTGAGCTGGGAGAAGGCTAGGGAAGGGACAGGCGTGGGCCCAGGAAAAGTGCAAAGAGCTAACACTAGGAGTGTAGCAGGGCTGGTACCAGCATAGGGGACCTCAGGCTGTCACCTGAGACCTGTTTGCGGCCCCATCTCTGGTCCCAGCTGTCTGATTGCCATGGCCTTGAAGAGCAGCAAGACTGGCAGCCTGCCTGTGAGTGAGATCTACAGTTTCATGAAGGAGCACTTCCCCTACTTCAAGGTGAGGACTCTGACTCAGGGTGGGGAGTGCTGGAGCCACCTGACCCCCCCCCCAGCACTGCTACAATCCAGGGCTTCCTCTACTACAAACTGAGCTATGCTCTTAGCCCTCTTCCCCCCCCCCCCCCCGCCCAGTTTTGTTTTGCCTGATAGGAGGGACAGGTGCAAGTTACAAAGAAAACAGGGCATTTGAACTAGGTTCTGATATATGAAGCAGAGCTCACCATGCTCCTCGGGGTGTAAAGAGTGGAGGGCCCAGCCTAGTTGTTCATCACAAACTCAGTAGGACAGCATGATGCCAAGCTCACCTTAAGTAAGAGCCAAAGGACTTAGGAAGATCTTGTTGGTTGCTGGAGTGCGGTTGGCCATTAGACACCATGTAAACTTCAAACCGCCCCCAAAGACCAACAGGCAGCCAGGAGTCCCAGATCACAGGATCTCATGCCTGGACAACATGCCAAGTAGAAATGCTGGAACACATGGATTGGGTGAACTGGGTCCCAGCATCTGGTTGCCTAGCAACAAAGTATAAGCATTTGAAAGCGATCTGCATTGAACTTACTGGGCAGCTACATAACCATCAGGATCAGTCTCCCCTAATCCCTACCCAGTGGGAGAGGCAGAAGGGACATTCCTGAAGCCTGGGCTGTGGTCCAGCTATAGGTCCCAGGGTACCAGGGCAGGGCCTCTTGCGTGCCAGTCCCCATCCTTCCCTTTCATCTCCACAGCTTGCATTGTAGACAGAATTCCCTGTGTCCTACCCTGTGAGGCATGAGTTTGAGCATTTCCAGACAGGTAAATAATTGCTAGAGAGATCACCTGAGGAGTCTACTGGGTACTCATGTGTCCCCACAGACAGCGCCTGACGGCTGGAAGAATTCGGTTAGGCACAACCTGTCACTGAACAAATGCTTCGAGAAGGTGGAAACCAAATCCAGTGGCTCCTCACGCAAGGGTTGCCTGTGGGCCCTGAACCTGGCACGCATCGACAAGATGGAGGAGGAGATGCACAAGTGGAAGAGAAAGGACCTTGCGGCCATCCACCGCAGCATGGCCAACCCGGGTAAGCCCCTGACCCCCACACACACCCGCCACCTCCCCGCCTCCCAGGACTACCCGCCCTTGTCAAAAGCCAGCAAGTGCAGGGACCTGGTGAGAAATGGGAAAGGCTGTCGAATCTGCCATCCCCAATTTCTAACCTCACAGCTGTAGGATGGCATCGGAATGGGTGTTTGAGATAATAGGAGAGCTGGAGAATAGCCAGGCGGCTAAGAGCACTTCCCGCTCTTACAGAGGACAGAAGTTTGTGTTCTTAGCACCACATATTGGACTGCTCACAATTGTCTGTAGCTCCAGATACAGAGCATCTGGCATTTTTTTTTTCTGGCAGAGACAGACACTATGTAAAAGCCAGGGGTGGGGGGTGGGGTGACACATGTTAGCATGTGTGTGTTAGCCCTGTCCTGGGAAGGCAGGGATGGGAGGATACCTGGAGCTCTCTAACCAGTCTAGCCAAAGTGGTAGCTCCAGGTTCAAGTGGGACAGCAATGCTACACTGAGTGGCACAGAGTAGGGTTTTGGCAGAAAGTGGCAGGAGGGTGCAGCATGGCCCCACTCATCTCAGATCTCCTGTGAGGTCCTGGGCAGGTCTGGCCTTCCAGATTCTTACCTCTAAAGTGGCCTAGCTACATCTTAGGCCCCTTATGGTCCAGTATCAACATTGTGCTACATCCAAGGAGACAAAGGCAACAGCCAAACAGAGGTGAATTCTGGGGCTGGGGAGACGGCTGAGTAGGAAAAGCACATACTGCCGTGCGAGGACCTGAGTTTGAATCCCCAGAGCTCAGGTAATGGCGGACATGGCAGTGTGCATCAGTAATCCTAGCGCTCCTTTGGCAAGATGGATGGTGGAGAAGGGTGTGAGCTGGCCCCAGGAAACCTTGTCTCGGGGAAGGCAGAAGGCAAGGACCCACTCCTGAGGCTATATTCTGGCCCTGCCATGTGCTCCATGGCACACACATACATATGCACCCTTTTTAGAGAAGGGTGATGTCTGTTCTTTGCTTATATTCATTCTCACGGAAGGGGACCAGCTCTTAGCTGGCAACAATGATGTTCAGTGTTGTTTCTATACACAGAGTAGGGAGGTCTCCACAAGCATTAATGATCTGACTGTCTCCTAGGACCTTTCTCCCTGCCCCAGCTCCTTCGGGGGCTGGAAAGAGTTCATTAAAGTCTTAGGGCCACAGGTCTGTGCTGTAAGGTCCTACCTGCAGGGTAGGGGCTGTTAGGATTTCATGGCAACTCCTGTTCCTTGAAGGCCTTTTAATGGCTTGGGATGGCATCATATCTCCATAGCAACCCTGTGTGGAATGTATGGTGCTATCTCAAAGAAGAGACAGTCTAAGATGGTTGCTAAATTCACCTGGGTAGTTGCACAGGGACTTAGGGGCTGATGACAGCCGGGGCTTCTAAGTGACATTTCCTACTTGTCTGCAGAGGAGTTGGACAAGCTCATCTCAGACCGGCCAGAAAGCTGCCGGCGTCCTGGCAAGCCAGGAGAACCAGAGGCCCCCATGCTGACTCATGCCACCACGGTGGCCATGGCCCACAGCTGCCTGGGCATCTCCCAACTCCCACCAAAGCCACTGATGACCCTGTCCCTGCAATCAGTCCCCTTGCACCACCAGGTCCAACCCCAGACACACCTGGCCCCAGACTCCCCAGCACCAGCCCAGACCCCACCTCTTCATGCCCTGCCCAATCTCAGCCCAGGGCCTCTCCCTCAGCCGGTCATGGGTAGGCCTCCTGGGGACTTCCTCAACATCAGCACTGACATGAACACGGAGGTGGATGCCCTGGACCCCAGCATCATGGATTTCGCTCTTCAGGGTAAGATACAAGAGATGGGGGTTGGACGGGGTTGGGGACAGAGATGGGAGCCCAGCAGCAGTCTGGCTGCACCCACCCTTAGCACCATCATATGACAACCACCACACCCACTAAACACTTAAAGCACCTGCTGTATACCAACCAAGCACTTCCTAGGCATCACCTGCCACAGCCCCAAGGCCCTGGCATCTCATGACCTCATTCTGCTGATGACACTGAAGCAAAGAGAAGTCGAGTTACCAGCCTGGGTCCCCTGGCTACTCAGTGACAAATCTACAATTTAAGCCTACTACCTCAAACTTTCTTCAGTAATTGCTTCAAAGCTATGCATGCTAAGTTGGGGGGGTTACACTATGGCAAAGTGTCCCTCTTCAGTAGGTCAAGGGTGAGAGGATTGTTGCTAGATGCATCCAAGAACTAACCAGGGTATTCTGTGCTTTGATGAAGGCTCCCAACTCATCCAACCCCTAAATGCATGTGCCTGCTGTGTTCCAGCCCTTGTGTCCTGTCCCTCAGTAGAGAACAGAATCCAGTGGCAGGGGAGTCAGGCAAGAGGTCTGTCGCAGTTGTGCTGTCTTTCTGTTCCTCCTCTCATCCAATGAGAATGAAATTTTCCATTCATCGTTCCCACCTTACCTCAAAGGTGGGCTTTTGCATCATCTCTGTCTTACACTGTGGCTAAGAGACTAAAATGGCTTCCCCAGGGACACACATCAGCAGGAGGAAGACCAGAGTTAGAATTCTGCCTTCCCTCCACTCTTTGTAAAAACACAAAGCCTTGAACATTATACACACACACACACACACACACGATCTTTGCCTCTTTTCCTAGGAAGGGGATTTGAACTCAGGGCTGTTTGGCCCCAAGCCAGCCCACCCAAATGCTTTTGTCTTTGCAAGGTAACCTTTGGGAAGAGGTGAAGGAGGACAGCTTTAGCCTGGAGACGCTGGGGGCCTTCGGAGACTCCCCACTTGGCTGTGACCTGGGAGCCCCAAGCCTGACCCCTGTCTCCGGCAGTGGTGACCAGTCCTTCCCCGATGTGCAGGTGACAGGTCTCTATGCTGCATACTCCACCCCAGACAGCATGGCCCCAGCAGTGGCTACCTCTGCTCAGTACCTGGGTACTCCAGGCAATAAGCCCATAGCTCTACTTTGAGCCACCAGCCTGGAGAAAGGCACTGTGGCTCCATCAGTGTCTTCAGCTGCTGGTTGACAAGGAAGTGACAATGCTTAGTTCCTCCTGCTCCCCTCATGCTACCACAGGACACTTCTGGGGCACCCAAGTCAGAAGCATGGGAGAGTGGCAAGCACCCCACCTCCCCTTCTCCTTCAGGGCCTGAGAGAGGAAGCATGGCCATGTTGAGGTCTGGTTCTCTTTAGCCTGGAATGGATGGCCCTGGATGTTCACCGGCCCACCTTGGGACACAGCGGTATGTCACAGAGACACAGGAGGGGAAGCTCTGAGCATATAAATACATTCTCCCAGGAGAGGAACCTCGCCTATGCCTCAGAGTGTGGCCCAAAGCTGGAGAAGGGCCTGGTCAGCCTTGGACCTGCCTTGGAGGTGAGACGATTGACCTCTGCATGGGCTCCCGCCCATTATTCCTGGAGTTTCCGGAGCCATGCTGACCACTGGGACCTTGTGTAAATTTATTTATATTTATTGTGACCCCAGCTGAGGTCCCTGGAATGAAACTCTTGGCAGACTCCCCCACCACTCAGCAA